GCAAAAAAAGACATGTCTTTTATCTTAGTCTATCAACACAGGGAAACAAAGACCTAGAATATTGTTTTCATAGCTCTATCAAGATGAATCAAGGTCGGCAAATTTAAATATTAACCTGAAACCAGTAAGATGACATTGAACAGAAGTAAATGCAAAAATTCCATATTTGGGTTACTGAAACCAATCATACCAACTTAGGATTCATAAGGAAAGATTCATTTGCTCAACAAATGTTTATGGAGTGCCACCTATCTTCTAGTCACTGTGCCAAGTGCTGGGTACATAGCAGAAAAAAACACAATGTCCTTGATGTCATAAAACTTAAATCTGATTGTAAAGAAAGATCTAAGGGTTTTAGCTAATTATAAGCTTAACGTGAGTCATCAAGGTAATATGGCTACAACAGCAAGTGCAGGAAAGCAAACAAATCCTAACCTGATTTTACGTGCACCAAGAGAGGTTTATTCAGTGACATCATAGAACACCTCGTATTGCCCTATGCCATTCCACTGCCATCAGCAGCTTGGAATTAACCATAGGTCCCTTGTATCAAGAGGAACTTTGACAAACTGAGTAGTATATTTAGAGAACGTAGTCAGGCCTACATGAGGTGTGAGAAGTGATTGAAGGAACTGCATGTGTTTAGGCTAGAAGACCAATGGTAAGAGATATGATAGACATCTTCAAATATTGAAAGAGCTATCTGTGCAAGACTTGATCACACAGGTCTGGAGCTCACCAGGTAGAAATTACAAGGCAGCAGGAAGAGCCTCACAAGAGAACTGCACCACAAAGGTATGGGAGGGTCTCCTTCCCTAGGGAAAAGTCCCTCCTCAGAGATGATGCAGAAGACAATTGTGCTGTCTGAGATCAAAGCAGAATATCAAGAGATCAGACTTGACTTTGAGTTTCATGAGCTGTAAAATCAAGAATTTCATAGCCTATCCCCCATTAATCAGGAAGACAGTATTTAGGAGGATAGCCTTTGGAACAGGATAGAGCTAGATTTCAGGCCTGAACTGCAAAAAGTTACTTGCAGACTTCAAGCCTCATTTCCCCGCTTGTAAAAGAGGGTGGTAATAGTTCCTGCCTCATTCCTGCAGTAATGATTCAATGAAAAAATGTAAAGTGCCCAATAAAGCACCAGGTCCCTGGTAAGTCATTAATAAATGATGGGTAATGGTAATATTAAATGCTCTCCATTTTATTTGACTATCTTTCAGTTTATTTAGGTAAATCAAATCATTTTGCTGTCTGTAATTCTGCAAACCTCTATTATACTAAAGCAATTATTTAGCAATTTAAAAATGTAAAGTAGAAGTTCTTTAGAAAATTTTGAAATGTTTTCTCTGGAGAAATTAGAGAAAAGGGAATGCTTAAGGATGCAATTTATGGAGCTTGTGATCACACTGAGGTGAAGCTAGGAAATTGTTGATGTATGGAATGGCTGAGCTAGGGTGGGTCATGGCAACCTCAGAGACTTCCTTTCTCCTTGGAGACCCCCACCAGGCAACAGAATTAAATATCAATCCAGCAGACTGATTTTATGAGGATTAAATTATGTCAGACCAATTTAATTTCCTTCTGTAACAGAGGGACAGGCTTTGGTGACACAGGAAAGCAATGGATATCAGATTCAGTGACTTCAGCTATGTCTTAAATTCTAGCCTGTATAAGAGTAAAATCTAAAAACTTAATTCAGTTTCACTGGGTAGTGGAGATGATCTCCAGAAACAAGAACCACAGGCTCATGATCCCTTTTTGAGTAAGGAGAAGAGGCAAGAAATGCTCTTCTTCGTGGAACTGGCAGAAAAATATGCCCCCTCACTATCTGCAGTAAAATTCAGAATTCATTCAGCAAATATTTGCCGAACGCCTGTCATGTGACACATCCTCAATCTGGATTGGGCTCGGAGAAATAAGTGAGATTTAAAAGCAGATATGTTCAAATGGGACTTTTCTTGGACAGATGTGGTTGTGGAAATGAGGTTGTGAGTTGAGGTAGGCTACAGAAGAAGTGGAGTCTTTGGGTTGGACCAGGTGTTTTAATGGAGTAGGGTAAAGTTGGGGAGAACGTTTTTAAGAGAAGTTGTGAGATCAGAAAGGCCCTTGGGAGAATTTAGGCTAAACTAATTCAAGTGGGAAAACCTCAGTAGCAAGAACTGCAAAGAAGAGGAAGAAGGGCATCTAGGAAGAGCTGACAGAATGGAGGATAGGTTTAGATGAGTATCCATTCATTTTGAAAACTTTTACAAAGTCCCAGGTGTGCTCAGCACAGAAGACGCAAAGATGAGTTAGGTTCACCCCTGGCCCTTGCAAGTCCTGACATTGAAGTAGCCAGGAGAAAAGGTGGCTTCAGTTTGACAACAAAGGAGAATTATTGGGGTCCCAGAAAGAAGGGATTCTTGCAAACTGAGGGTAAAGTCTGTGACCGGTTGAAGGAGTGTGCAGACAGGGATGATTCCCCTGAGATTCTCATTTGCCTCACATGGCTGACTTACAGAGACCTTCTCCAGCTCTAGAATTCTAGTAGTGAAGCCATTTTCGTTGATTTTACCGTCTGGTCTCTCCTGAATCGGGCTCTTTCATTTACACCTACCCACCTCCCCTGTCAGAAAACAACTGCTATAAACAGGAAAAAGTGGCATTCTGGCTTCCTGTCACAACACAGCCACTGGGGGCTATTAGGTGTCCCCCAGCAGCTTGGGGGTAAATTCATGAGTAAAGCACTAGCAGGGGGTGGGTGAGGCAGGAGTGAGGAGCAGAGAGGATGAAAGGAATACAGGGTCCTGGCCAACCTCCCAGGGTGGCTGAAACCCAGGAGATCTGTAGCTTTCAGATGACCCATTCTGACTAGAGATGACCAGCTCCTAGTCTGAAAAATCCACAGGAGTCAAGCCACTCCCAAAGGCTCTAGGGAATGCTAGTGCACCCCCAAGGAAGGCCTTGATTTAATCTCGGTCTTCAGAAATACCCTCTCCTTTGAAGCTAACAGAAATTCCTAGGGAATTAAAATGACCCTGCCCATACAAGCGTCTTGCCAATTTCAGGGTGCTGTCCTGGGGCTAAAGTGGAGCTCCTCCTCTGGAGGATGCAGGCCCTCAGGACCACCTGTCCGGCAAGGCTGGCCCATGTTTGGCAGAGTACCATGAATGTGTCTGTCCCAGGCCCCACCTGTTGTAGGGACCAGATCTCATGATGAATGGGATATGAATTAGGATGGCAGAGTAATAAATCAAGGAGTGTCAGAAAAGTTGTGAGGAACATATATGTACATATATAGCCATCCCATAATAACTCTTTCATACCCATACACATGCATACACACACATAGACACACACACACACACACACCGCATATACTCCCAGTCACCATGGTAACCATTCCTTAAAGCTGTACTTAGGGGTTTTTGTTGTTGGTTTTTGTTTGTTTGTTTGTTTTGTCTTTTTTTTTTCATGCTAGATCTTTTCACACGTATTTGTTTGAAGGACATCTCTGGCTTTGACTCTCTGCTGAGACGCACCATACCTCCTTGGGAAACTCTGTTACATATAACATTTGTCAGGTCCCTCTAGAAGGCTCATATCTATCTTGATGCTGACACTGAATTCAAACAACACACCATTTGGTAACTTGCTAAAAGCACTGGCAATACAAAATAACCATTATGACTGCCACTGTGAGTCAGAAAAGCTAGAGACAAATATAGTATAATGCCTTGTACAGCTTTCACAGACAGTCCTCAATTTTAAAATAAAAGCAAGTCATAAAGCTAATATGGAAAAGGAGCCAGCTTTGGTGCGTAAAAATGGAGAAACCTATTCTCGATTAAAGTGACAGCTCTTATTTAGTAGGCATGGATTTAAGATTCTTAACCTTTTAAAAGTACTTCCAATTTCCATCCTGCTCCATATAAGATACATTATGCTCAAATTAACCCTATTTTCCATTTTAGATTTCATTATTCAAAAATGCCAGTAACATCAGTGTGTCAAGAAACACTTAAAACATTTTTATCCAAATATTGACCTAGCTTTGGACAACGTCCCTGTGAAAGTAGTGAGGTGTTTTTTTCCTTTTAATGTCATCAATATGTTTATGATTAAAGGTCAGTCTGTGGCAACAGTTTGCATCTCTGCACTATAATTATTTGCTCTGCTTTAAAAAAATATGCTGACTTGTGACCTGACCAGCAGTTCTTTGCATCCCCTTCTATCAGATTTCTACTGGATGGGGAATGACCTAGGCAACAGTATTTAATTTATAGTCAAAGCCCACGTGTATGCCCTGCCTCCTATAAAGCACTGGGACACCATGGGGTAGTGAGAGAAGTCCTTTGCTATGAAACAACTGCTCGAAAAGTAAGTTAAAGTGCGGAACCAGCGATGGGGCGGGCAAGCATTTATTTTGACCTGAACGAGGATTCTGGTCTTTGAAGCTCGCCCGAGAGTGGGCTCATTTCTTAGAAGGGGAAAAGGGGGAGCGACAAGAAGACTCCACCCAGGCGATCCCAGGCAGGCGCCTTGTCTATAAATCCAGGGAGAGAGGCACCAGGTGGCCAATGGATCAGAAGTCACCCGGCTGGGTACGCAGGTGGCAGGGATGGCGGGGTGTGGGGGCAGATGGGCCAAAGCGGGGCGGGGGCGGCCTAGGCGGATCAGGGGGTGGGTGGCTGAGGTACAGGTGTGAGGGGGAGGTGGGCTGTCTTCCCACCCGCCCGTTCGCCCACCAGCGAGCAAGCCTTGGCCAGGCCAAGCAGCATTGGGCTCCCCGAAGCTGGGGGATCGGCGCAGCCTTCCGTAAGGGGCTCCCGTCGACCCCGCGCCCTGGGCTTGCGTCTCTCTGCGGGTCAGCGGGCAAGTCCTGCCTCTGCCTCCCCCCAGCCACACGCACCGCGCCATCAGTTCCTCGCGGAACCGGCTCCTCTCTCCGTGCCCCGGCCAAGACGCCCGGGGAAGCGGGCAGGCGGGCGGGGTTCTACAGGCGCCGGGCCACTTACCTGCGTGCAGGCCGCCCGTGTCGGGAACGCTGTCTGGGGCGGCGGCGCTGGGCGGCGCGTCCGAGTCGGTGTAGGTGAGCCAGGTGGATTCGGTCTCCCGGGTCCAGCTCTCGTAGTAACGGGGCTCGATGGCATCCGCCCGGCTCCCGCCGCAGCCCATCCTACCGTGCCGCGGGCGCGCCAGGCGGCCGCTCCGCTGGCGACTGTGGCGGCGGCTCAGCCCCGGCCCGCGAGGAGGCGGCGGCGGCTACATCGTGTCCCCGCGCCCGCCCGCGCTGCAGCCGCGCCGAGCTCCCGCGGCACCCGCCGCCCCTCGACCAGGCCCTCTCTCCGCCAGTCCCTCCTCTCCGCCTCCAGGGCCCTCCCTCCCCTCCGCTCCCCACCGCCCGGTCCTCACCTCCCCGCACCCTCGCCGCCCCAGGGCCCCCGCTCGCTCGCACCCTCCCTCAGGTCTCCGAGTCGGCCCGCGCGCAGAAGCGGTGGGAGGAGGGCTGGGGTTCCCGAGAGGCCCGGACCCGTCGGACCGAGATTACCGCTCCCAGTCTCTGGCCCATCCATCCATCCATCCATCCATCTGTCCATCCGTCTATCCATCCATCCGCTCACCCACTCATTCATTCATCCTTCCTTCCTTTTTTCCAACCATCCTGGAAAGAACTGAAACGCTTATCACGGGACCCCAAGCTTTCTGGCCACCTGTTACAAAAGCAGTGGAACTGGGGGCCACCCTGCAAAACTGGAAAGAGAGTATTGCTAAGACTTAAGGAGCAGTCAGAGCCTATGCCTGTCTTATCTGATTTGAGGAGTCAGGAGTAGGCCTCTTTTTAAGAGAGTTGGGCTAGGCAGTGTCATTAACACCCCTTCCAGCTGTGGGACTTCATGATCCTCTGAACTTTAAACTCGAGAAAGCAATAGATCACCTGGAACCACGCAGCATCCTAGACTCCCTTCGGAACCCCCTCGCTGGGAGGGGCTTGGAGGCATAGCGGTCCCTCCAAGCCTAGGGTGGCCTTGACATTCCCTGGGTCCAGTTGTCAGCCTTTCTCTCCCCAGTGCACCCTCAGGTTCATGGGGGTTCAGATCTAGAGCTCAGACTTGGGTAGGCCAATGAATTTACCTGTCCCCAGAATTCACAACAGGTGGTGAAAGATGAAAATCTTCTTAGCTTTCAAAAGGAGGGTAGGAAAGGGAAGAGTTTGGAAGAGTAACTCTTCAATGACCAGGCTCTGCTAGAATATGGTGTTAAGTGTCATATTCATTCATTCAATGTATATTTACTAAATTCCTATTGTGACAAAACACTATTCTGGTAGACATAATACGTATGTAACATATTGTGTATATTATCCATTGTATTTAGACTATAGGGCATGCTGTTTAATACAGCATGTAAAACACAGGAATATAGATATAGTACTCAGTATATCCTATATAATTTATAGAATGTACTAGAATACATTGTCTATAACATTTAGTATGTAGCATCCAGTAGGTAGGGCAAGTTCAGAACATTGCCTGGCACATAATAGGTCCTCAGTAAATGTTCAGTGAATGAATAATAAATTATCTTTTGTAGTAATTTGACTCACTTAAATTATTGCAATTTGGGGTAAAGATGATTCAGTTGAGGGTGGAGCTGTCAAAATCCCTCTGGCAGGTACTATCCAGAATCCATAATGCAGAAGGGAGAAAAGATTCATGAAACTGAGCCCAGGGTCTCCTCCTTCTCATGCTGAACCCGGCACCTGCTCCCACCCCAGGGCTCAGGCTGGCCTCCTCTGCAGGCTTTGCTTCTCTTTTTGCGACAACCCTGGGAGGTCTCTTCAACCTTGTTTTACGTGTAAGATAGAGGGAGTGCAGTTAGCCAGGACGTGGTGGCTCCCCTAGTCCTTTGGAATTAAGATGGCCTGTGCCCCTTTTCTTTCCCCCTTGAATATTTTGATTTCAGAAGAACCAGCTTCCAGGGAGAGAGAATACTTAACGTCTCTAGCAGAGCCTGTGCTTCCCTCAGTTCTACAGCACAGTGCTCCTTTCATAACCAGCTACTTTGTGATGTCACCACCCAAAGAGCAGACAGGCCAGAAAGAGTGTCTGAGTTACACAGTCCTGGGGGAGATCTAGAAAATGAAAGAAACTGAAAGAGCTGGAGCTTGGCAAGCACAGGAAACAGAGCAAGCATGAGATGAAGTGGAGGGGTATCCGGGGGCCAAATGGAAACCCACATGCCCATATGTTTGCATTGTAAATCTATAAACCAAGTGAGCAAGTTTAATTGAAACATGTGATGTCCTCTTATCTTGACAAGTTATCTTCATAACAACCTGAAAGGCCAGATTCTAATGTACAGTTCTCTCAATCTTTGGAGTTCTGCACTAAACATGCTAGAACAGGTGGAAGTGACCCACCCACTCCTCTTTCTATCCTCAGTCCAGTGCTGCTCCACACAGGTCCTTGTGGGCCCACAGGTCTAAGGTCTGTCCATATTCCCCTCCCACAAATAACTGCCTTGACCATCCCTCTCGCTGAGGAGCATGTGCCTGGGGGGTACAGTCTGCCCTCATGGGGTTTGCTTCCAGTGCAAACCCGAACAGGTTTGGGGGGCTTGGAGAAGAGAATTGCAAGGTCTCGAGTACCCAACAGCGGAGTTAAAAGGGGTTGAGACTCGGGCTCCAAGTAGGTGCATTCTGTGGTCCCTGGATTCCTTGGTCATAGAGAGGACCAGGGCTAGAGAATCAGAGTGGGGCCCTAGAGCAGGGGCCAAGAGCAGGGACCCCTCTTGCCGGGCCCTGTCTACTTATTTGAATGGAATTATGAACATTTCCCGAATGTAAGAGATGCTTTATCAAGTACTACCTGGCCAAGGTTGAGTGTGATCACTCATTTCACACACATTTCTGATCATCTGTTGTGTATAGTTTAGGACATATAGTTATTGTGTATAGTTTAATGATAAAGACATGGTGACATGCTTAGAATCTTCAAAAGGGATTAATTTCATATCTTCATAGAGTTCAAATATTTGCTTAATGAATGAATGGCAAGAGGCAAGGTGAGTATACACAGTTAAAAGTGCAAGTTCAAGAGCCTGACTTTCTGAGTTTAAAGTTTGACTCTGTCACTTAAGTGGATGGTCTTGGGCAAGTTACTTAACCGCTTTATGCCTCAGTTGCAGCATCTGTAAATGGGGATAATGAATTATGTCAGTATGTGTAAAGGGCCTTGAAGAGTGTCTGGCACACAGAAACACTCAATGAATGTTGCCATCACAGCACTTTTGGGGCAAGGAGCAACGGTGTCATTTCTCTCCCTTAAGTGGGAAATCCCTGAAATTATTATGTGTTTTCACATAAGATAATGTTTGTGAATTTGCTTAGCACACTGCAGAAATTTGGTAAATAGATAGATTTTCTTTTCTTTTCTTTTCTTTTCTTTTCTTTTTCTTTTTCCTTCCCTTATCATGCTTATGATGTTACTACTACTAACAAACAACCTTCCTGCAAATAAATTTTTTAACCACCATTTCTAAGTAATCATCATTGACAGAGCAGTTCCATTTTTTCATGGATTCTCTTTCTTGCCATTACATAACAACATAGATTCTGAGACATTCAGAAGCCAGAAAAACTTAAAGAGCAGCCAATCTATTCCTTTCATTTTTACCAACTAGGAAATCATAGCTGAGAAAGTTGTAGAATTGCCCGAGGTCACACAGGAAATGTTATCTCTGGCAGAGCTGAAGTTACAGCTGGAGCTGGAGGCCTCTGGCTGCTGGCTCTGTGCTCTTTTTAGTTACAGCTCTTTAGTTGGGATTGAATTTTCTCCTAAACCTTTAGGAATAAATGTTGGAAATTCAATGTAAATATGAAAAATGTAATAAATTATCTTAAACCCTCTGTTCAGAATCTGTAGCTTGACTGTCATGAATTGGTTATCTTCATCAAGTCTGAAAGAAACAAAAATAACTTTTTCTAAGGGGAAAGGTTGCAACAGGGAATTGGAAAGCCTGAGCCAAAGCCATCCAGAGTAATGAAGTAAATTATACCTGTAAAAACTACTGCAGAGTGGCATTTACTATGTGATGGGATTCTCAAAATAAAATTGTCTTTGGCTTTAAGAACGCCTGTGACTGGTAACACCTCTGACTCATTTCTATAGAAACTGAAGCAGAGGCCTGTAGTGCTTCTCCCTCCAAGGACTCATTCCTGTGGCTTGGCATCACTGGGCTCTACCCAACTACTGTGAGCTGTAGAAAGGAGGCCTTCAGTAAGGTGGACAATCAGCACAGAACAGAAGGCTCAGCAGGAGCCTAAACCTGTCTTTAGAATCAACCATCTGAATAGGAATAAAGATAGATTCACTGCCTTACAAGTTTCCATCTTTTTCCAAGTGAAAAAGTAGCATAAATGAGGAAATAGTAGCAATAATTCTGGCCAACAGGGTGACAGACCCTAGGTAAATATCTTTGGTCTTGAATGCCAAATCTCAGCAAGTTTCCCCACTGCCCTAGATTCAGCAAGCATGCCAGAACTGGAGGTCCATGCCCTCCCTCTGAAGGATTTTAAAGCAGTTTCCACAGAACATCCCTCCAGGTCCTTGATCTTGGCTAGTTGGCACATCCTCACTGATCCACAAATTGTCATTTAGCTGTAAAGGAAGAGGGCTCAAAGTTAGCACCCAAAAGCACAAGATCTGACTTTGTTCCCCACATCTGGAAAAAGAAATCAGAAAATATCACTTGGCATGAACTCATTCTTGCATCTCTTGCCTTGAAAAATGACTGCTTTCCCCAGGGAATAAATAGTACACCTGGAATCCAGGTGATGTGGACAGATCAGGTAAACATCATCACAGAGTGTAAACAAGAAAGGAAAGCAAACATTACAACAGCAAAAAGATGAGTGAGTTTTTTATTTGGTTTAAGAGGTTAGAAAATGTGAAAAAGGGAATGTTGCAAAAAACAACAAAAGAAAGTAATTGAATATGTTACAAAAAATTTATATAGAAATTGAAACACGTGGAATTAAACACTATAGAATTAATTCTCCACTAATCCTTAAGATAAATAGTTCTCATGAGAAGAGAGGCTGGCTCCCTTAGGTTAATTCTAGAGAGATTCAGCAAGTTATTTCACTGACTGCCAAACTTAAGAGTCTATCTCTGTCCCTGAATTAATGTCCTGTGGCACCTTCTCATACCCCAAATTAAAGCACAGGACAAAACAATGTCTGGTGTTTCCCAGTGTCTGGTTTTACTACACTTCCTTATGGTGTTGCGCTAGCTCATTGATAAGATGTAATGAATACTGATTTGTTCTCTCACATGGTAATATGAGCAACATTCTACTGGAAATGGCCTGGAGAGGAAAACCCAGTGGTGATGAGGTGATTAACCTAATTTTTGAATAACAGAATAACTTCAAATTGTAGATTTTAATAGAAGAAAAGGAGACTGAAAAGAAGTGAGAATAGATCCCAAAAGGCATATTCCCACGGGACTAATTCCAAAGAGAATTCAAAAACCCAGGGAAGGTTTTAATAAAAACATCCTCATAGCATTATATCTTCTTAAAGACCTTTGGGATCATTGTTATCTACCTCTAACATGGCTCAGGCCACTTAGTAATACTGTCCTGTGCGCTTTCCTTTCACTGGAACAAAGAAGTCTTGAGTAATTCGCAAAAGGTTACTATAAATGTCAGAAAGAGAAAGATTGGGGTGTAGATCTCTTAGTCTAGAAACATGGAATTTTACTTCCCTTCAGAAAAAAAGGAAAAGCAGATTGTAACTTCTTTCTGACTTGGAGAGAGAGCATTTTCTATAAATTTGAATAGTGCATTGTTTACCAAGACCTGTGGTTGCAATTCCATGCATCAGTTCTGATTGTACCTTCACCTTTAACTCATGAAGATTTTGACAATGTGTGCCTTAGTCCATTCCTGCTACCATAACAGCGTACCTTAGACTGGGTAACTCATAAACAACAGAAATTCATTTCTCTCTTTTATTTTTTTTAGATGGAGTCTTGCTCTGTAGCCCAGGCTGGAGTGCAGTGGTATGATCTCAGCTCACTGCAACCTCCACCTTCCACCTCCCAGGTCCCAGTTCAAGCAATTCTCCTACCTCAGCCTCCCAAGTAGCTGG